GGAACAAGGTTGTCAGAGAAAAGGCAAGAAAGAAACCGAAATGACTGACATTAGCTGTACACCAAGCTAGACAGGGAGAGACACATTTATAGGAGTTCTGCATGTGGACACAGAGAGAACAGAGGGCTCAAGATAAGGATCCCCATGAGGTTGAAGAACAGATGTATTAGAAGGTATCAGAGTGTCAGTGAAGACAGGAACTTGTGGTCAGAGGCGGGGCTGTCTGAATTTAATGTCTGAACAGTTCTGGATGAGCACAGGGGCAGAGTGGGGGTGGCTGAGGTGCACAAAATCACTTGAGTAGAGCTCATGGAACCATGAAGCCAGGTGGTCACTTAAGTTACTCTGGAAGAGGTAAGAACTGGGATGCTTAGGAGGCTGTGGGCCAAAGTCTCCAATCAAACAATCAGTGAGGGATGCATTCCAGAAGGTTGGCAGTGACACAGACTGGGGTGGGAAGGAGGCAGAGCCCCTGACGCAGGTACAGGAGTCAGGGTCAGCGAGTGAACAGCAACAAAGCATGGACCACCTCTCCAAGCCTTTGAGGTAAAGTCTTCTCAGGGACAGTGAGGTGACTCAAGCTGTGCCTCGAGGGTGGCATGCGCAAAGTAAAGGGCAGCAAAGAGGGCAGCCTCTCAGAAAAGCCCAGGGGATGTGGACTTTGTGAGGACGGGCCACGCCTTCAATGAGGAAGGCCAGTTACATCTTTCTCTTCTACTAGTATATCCCAGAAGTGGAAATCCCCTCAGCGGCAATAAATGGACCCTGAATTCTAATGCCAGGAAATCATTAAACCTAGCAGCTCTGGTAGCCTCAATTCCAGTCACCTCCAGGAAACAGTGAAGAAGGCCCTGTGGCAGTGCAGTTGAATTGCTGGAAAAGCAGCACTACAGTGTGAGAAAAGCTCTTGTGACAGTAGATGATCTCCAGCCTCTCCAGGCTGGGTTATCAGACCACTGGGGAGGAAGAGCACACCACGTCTAGCCTAGGAGAATATTCTATTAATTCCAAAATCCCCAGACCTTAAAGACAGTCCACCATTACCCCTGAAATCCCTTGACTCCAGCTTGCCTCAGAAATAACTACTACTAAAGAACTGTTGTGCACTGTTGCTAGAAATGCAAAATGATGCAGCTGCCATGGAAACCAGTATGACGGTTCCTCAAAATATTAAATATGCAATTACCATATGATCCAGCAATTCCATTTCTGGTTACATATCTAACAGAACGAAAGCAGGGTCTTGAAGAGCTATTTGTATACAATCATTCATTGCAGCATTATTCACAAGAGCCATGAGGTAAAAGTAATCCAAGTGTCCATTAATGGATAAATATTGTAGATAAGCAAAATGTGGTATATACATAATACAATGGGATGTTATTCAGCCTTAACATGCAAGGTAATTCTGATATATTCTACAACATGGGTGAATCCTAAGGACAGTATGCTAAATAAGCCAGTCACAAAATAGCAAATACTGTATTATTCCACTTATATGAACTATCTGAGTAGTCAAATTCATAGAAACAGAAAATAGAATGGTGGTTGCCAGGGCTGGGGAAAGGGGAGAATGAGGAATTATCAAAGGGTACAGAGTTTCAGTTTTGAAAGATGAAAAAGTTCTGGGGATTGGCTGCACAACAATGTGAAAACACCTAATACCACTGGATTGTACTTTAGAATAAATATGATAGTAAATTTTATATCATGTATATTTAATCACAACTTTAAAAAAACAAACTTCATATTTATATGTGCAAAACAAACCAACAAACCCTAAAAACCTACTAAAATAGTCTACCTCTAAGAACTTGAGGAGGATATATCTTCATTCTCCCTTATTTTACCATAAAGAATGTTTCTAAAGTACCTGAAACAATGTGTTCAAAACCAAGCTTACCCTCTTCCCCACCAAACTCATTCTTGCTTTCTCATTATCTTAAGTAAAAAACCTAAGTCATCTGCAATACTTTGTTCTTTCTGCTCCCTATCAAGTGCAACCCATCACAATTTCCTTCAATTTTACCTCCTAAATACCTCTTAGACCTGCTCCCTTCTTGCCATCTCCACCATTACCACCTCAGTGCTCGCCACCATCAACTTTTCCCTGGTCTATTCCACCAGCCTCCTAACCAGTCTCCCTTGCCTCCATTCTTGCTTGCCCCTTCCAACTTGTCCCCCCACTGCATCCAGAAGGAAAACACACACACACACACACACACACACACACACACACCCTTGCAAATCCAATCACATCAATCCTTTCATTAAGACCTTTTCATTTAGGCTTCCCATTGTTCTTCAAATAAAGGTGGCCTATAAGGCCCTGCAGCTGTTGCCGCCTAAGAGAAAGACATCAACTTCTTTATTCAGGCCATTGAGAGTGCCTGTCTCTCCTGCCTCAGGACCTTTGTATATGCTCTTCCCCTTCCCATTCCATGCACCTGTCTACTCATCCCCTGGATGGGTTGCCATGTCCTTCAGAAAGTCTTCTTTACCTCCAACTTCTCAGTCTGTTATATGCTCTCTTAGGACCCTATACCTCTCCTTTACAGTGATTATAATCTAACAAATACTGAGTCATTAGTGGTTGTTAACAATTTCCCCTGCTGGCTGTAAGTTCTATGAGGGCAGACAGTGTCCTTGTCTTCTTATTAGTTGATACACACTCAGCCTGGCAAAGGGATGGGCAGAATTAATTAATGGGATTAGAGCAAATTGAACTTTTACAATAAAAATGGCTAAAATTCTGAAGCCCCATAAGAACTAGTCACCATTCCCTCTCCTTGCCTTCCCAAATTAGTTTTCCAGAAGACTACTTCCAATGCAAAGAATCCTGTCATGTAGATAGGAATCAAAATGCACTGTCTGCCACCTGTTTATTATTTATTTACTTGAACATGTATTGAGTCTTGGCATAAGGCTATGCACAAATACAAATAACACCAAGTATCTGCATTTAAACCATTTCTACTCTGGTGGAGAAGATTGAACACGCTATTTTATTTTGTTTAAAAAACAACCACCACCATCACCCTATGCTTCAGCACAGGTTCTAGAAGAAGACTGGGTTCAAATCCTCATTCTATTACTAGTTGTGTAACCTGGTCACCTAACCTCTCTGTGCCTCGATTTCCTTGATTAAAGCCATTAAAATGGGTTTAATAATGATACTTGCCTGATGGGAGTTGTGAGACTTAAACAAATTAATACACATAAAGTATTTAGCAGAGTGTCTAGTACATAGAAAAGCAAATATCTGTTAGCAAAAATAATATATCCTCCACAGCAAGGCTTAGACCTCCACTTCTTTCAGGCAATACAACACAAATTGGTAAAGGTAGGCTAGCCACGCAGTTCATATCTATGGCATGCATCCAATACATATTCATTTAAAACTTTATTGGTGTATCAACAAAGCTAAGACTTCATATGATAAACAGGAGTTCTGTAGCAATGAAGTCATCATTTTTAGTACTCTCCTATTTAACAAGCCTGTGTAGGCAACATCCATTTTCAAAAGTAATACAAGTTAATATTTTCAAAAGTGTATACTGTGCTGTAATCACTAAATTACATGCTTACCTATGTCAGCTGCCATCCCTCTTCCACGAAAACAGTTAAAAATTATTGTTATTTCCTACTGACTTTACTGATTTTAACTAAACTTCTGCAATTTTTTTCATATTGTACGGACATATTTATAAGAGGTAAGCATTAGAAATAAACAACAAATGCATCAGATTTCTAAAAATTGCCACAAGGCATTTGTCCCTCTTAGGGACTGACATTTTGTGTATCAAAAATTACACAGAAGTTTTATTATGTGAAAAACAATGACACATAATTTCACTAGTACCAATGGGTATCTTCTATTGAAATAAGACCCCAATGTCATGTGATCTTTAGTAGCAATCAATCAAGTTTTTTTAAAAGTTTATTGGGCAACAATAAACTTAGCAGGCCCTCTTCTAAACGTGCACTGGTGATAAAAACATGCAAGAAATATGCTCTCAGCCTTCAACGAATTTGGTGTAGCAGAAGAAACCTATACAAATACTGCCTTATTCTGCTATACATAACAGATACTAGCACTGGGTCACGTGAAGCCCAAAAGAAAGTCAGCTGACTCTACTGGGGTTGGATCAGGGAAGGTTTCAAAAAGGTCCCTCGAATTAAGTCCTGAAGGATGTGCAAGACTTCTCCAGTGAGACAAAGAGGGAAATGGCAGTGCCCACAAAAGGAACTGCAGGCTGCTGCAAACATGGGGACCCATGAAACATGGTGTGTTGGCGTTCTGTTGTGTGTGTGCAAATGGAACACAAAATTTGTGTACGAGAGGGGCAAATGAAGTTTCAGAGACAAATAGGGGTGGTCGACTTATTGATGTAACAAGAAGAGGAGTTTATGTCACAAAGGGAAGCCATTGAAAATTCCTAATCAGGGTAATAATGTGATGAGTTTACACTTTAGAAAGATTAGTAGTTTGGGACACTATGGCTCCCGTGAGAGGGCTGCCCTAGCCGAGGATCCTCACTTGTGCGGCCCCTGGATTCACTGGTGGTGACTCGCCCCCTTCTCCCAGCCTAGGTCAGCACTGTTACCCCGCCCGCCGTGCGATCCCGCCCTCCTCGGAGTGCCCCTGTGGTCTGACTTCAGGAGACAGTACTCGCTGTCACTAGTGGGCGGCCTTCCTCAACGTGATCTGAGCATCCTTCCGGAGGCTGACAGACCTAAGCTTCAGCGTTGGCCTCTAACTCTTATCTGTGCGACCACCAGGCTTGCCTCAGTTTCGTTCTCTGAAGCCCTGGGAAGGCCCGGCTCCTTGGCCATTGGCGGCTGTGCGTTAAGTGGCAGACACTAGGAGAGAGCCGGCGAGGGGCGGACCCCAGCGCCGGGAGTGACGGGGGCGCGCGCCGCCGGCTCCGCCCGGAGACTTGGAGCCCACGGGCGAGCCGGGTAAGCCAGGCCGTGGGCGTGAGGGCGGGGCGGCTCACCGGTAAAAGGCAGAGTCCCCGAGCGGGTTCCAGTTCGCCGTGTAGCAGTCCATTGCTGGTGCAGGAGGCTGCTGGGCAGCGCTGAGAAGACACCGCCTAAGACGGGTTCCAGGCCCACACTTCCGCTTCCGCCCGCCTGGGTCACGTGGCGAGGGCGCCACCACTGCCATCAGCACTGTGGGCAGCTGGACTCGGCCGCCGCCGCGCTCCCGCCCACACCCGGGCCTCGTGCCCGCCCGGGTGGGCCTGGCACTAGCTTCTGCCCGCACACCGCGGCCACCCCCGCCGCCTTCCTATCCCCCTCGGGCGTTGGGGGTCGCGCAGGGCGGGACATGGGTGACCGGAAGTAGGAGCTGTGAGCGTCGCCGCCCGGGGCGCCGAGGCCCGAGGTGCCGTCGGGGCAGCCGGGACGCACGCATGGAGAACGCTGGGCGCCCGGCTGCGCACCGACGGCTAACCCGGTCGCACGGGCTCTGCGGGGCGGGGGCTGTGCGGCACCGACCGGCCTCCTGGGACGCGGGAACATGAGGCTAACCCCGGAGCCCGATGAGGGCGAGGCGCGCGGTGCGCGGGCCTGTCCTGTTCGCGGGTGAACCGTGCGGAGCTCCGGGACTCGGTAATTGGCGCGAGCGGGCGCGCGCGCATGCGCGAGGAGACAGCGGGCACTTGGCTGGGCGCAGGGCGGAGCCGCGCGGGAAGTGCCTCCGTATCCCGGAGGCCTGTGGGCCGGGCGACCCCCAGCCTCCGGTGCCAGGTGTGACCGAGGCCAGCACCACCATGAGCCCCATTCTGCCGCCGCCACCTGGTTCCTGGAGAGGCCAGCACAGGTCTCATTTATCCCAGGACGGGCCCTGGAGCAGACCTGCCCTGAGTCCCCACTCTCGCGCGGCTTAGTGGCCTCTCCCTGCAGCCCGTCGTTGTCAGCGGCGGCATGGTCTTCTGTCTGGAAAACGAGGAGCCGCGCCGCGCGCTGCGAAGCGCCATGGTCCACTTCCAGGCCTCGGAAGTCCAGCAGCTGCTACACAACAAGTTCGTGGTCATCTTGGGGGACTCAAGTGAGTGCCCCCCTAGGAACACACTTCCCAGTGCCGCACCTGCAGCCTGTTTTCTAAGTCTGGACGCTTTTTGTTTACATTTTAAACCTCCGCTCTGATCCTTAGTGTGTTCCATTCCAGTAGGTTTTCTCGTTTTATTTCTCCATGTACCTTCCACAGGTGTCCCGACAGATGTAGCCTGTCAAGCTTTTCACCCCATCCTTGCTCAGTGTTTTTTCTCCCTGACAGTCCCCCATAATTTCCTTCACGGGAGCGGTGGATTGTGTTGTCTGTCTCCCAGGCGACTTGGCCAACTTCTGCCAGGCGTATACTAAGTTGGGGGTGATGCACAACTAGAAAGATCAGAAGTGGTGCCAGGACTTTAACCTCACTTTTTTTTCTGCCTCAAAGTCAACACTCCACAGAAGTGGTGCTGGGCAACCCCAGGCATGGGAAGATGGGGGGCCTGGTCTTGGGAGGAGCTTGGATGGGGTGAGGTGTGCCTCAGCCTGACTGTCTCTGTCTCCCTGTAGTCCAGCGGGCCGTGTACAAGGACCTGGTGCTCCTGCTCCAGAAAGACTCACTGCTCACAGCTGCCCAGCTGAAGGCCAAGGTGAGGGAAGCTTGGTGACCATGCCAGTGGTGGGTGGGCACAGACCCTGGCCTGGCAGGGTCCTCCTCCCTGGCATGGGTCTGACGAGCTGGGTGTGGGGGAGGGCAGGGGGAACTGAGCTTTGAACAGGACCAGCTGGTGGCTGGGGGTCAGCTGGGCGAGCTGCACAACGGAACACAGTACCGGGAGGTCCGCCAGTTTTGCTCGGGTTCTGGCCACCACCTCGTGCGCTTCTACTTCCTCACCCGCGTTTACTCTGAGTACCTGGAGGGCGTCTTGGAGGAGCTGACATATGGGCCTGCTCCGGACCTGGTGATCATCAACTCCTGCCTCTGGGATCTCTCCAGGTTGGGGCAGGCGGAGCGGGAAATACTGGTTGGGGTTGGAGGTATGTCTCAGAGACCACCCTTGCCCACCCTGTGTGCTGCCCAATAGGTATGGGCGCTACTCAATGGAGAGCTACCGAGAGAACCTGGAACGGGTATTTGTGCGAATGGACCAGGTGTTGCCAGACTCCTGCCTGCTGGTGTGGAACATGGCGATGCCCCTGGGGGAGCGTGTCACTGGGGGTTTTCTTCTACCTGAGGCAAGTGACCAGGGCCTCTCAGGATGGGGGAGGGGTCAGCTGACTGGTAGACAGAGGACCCTTCCGACCCTGCTTCGTTCTGCAGCTCTCAGATGCTGTACTTTTTTAGCTCCAGCCCCTGGCGGCCTCTCTGCGGCAGGATGTGGTTGAAGGGAACTTCTACAGTGCCACGCTGGCTGGGGACCACTGCTTTGATGTCCTGGACCTTCACTTTCATTTCCGGCATGCAGTACGGCACCGTCACCGGGATGGTATCCACTGGGACCAGCATGCCCACCGCCACCTCTCACACTTGCTTCTAACCCACGTGGCTGATGCCTGGGGCGTGGAGCTACCCAAGCGTGACTACTCCCCTGGTGAGCCCTACCATGAGTGGGGAGGGTAGTGATGCAGAGAGGGCCCTCGGAGCACAGGGCTCACAAACGGAATAGGACAGAGGTACTCCAGGGGAGTAGAGGCTCGCTGAAGGACTGCTGTGGCCCCTGAGTGCTCCTTCCTCATCCCCTGGGGCGGGTGAGATCACAGGAGCAACGCTGCAGTTCAAGTTCCAATTCTGTATGGTCTAGCCATATAGTCATCTCAGTGTACACGAATGAGCTTATATAGCATTGAGCACATAAGATACTGTCTTAAAAGATTTCCTACCCTATAGGTGAATAGAAAGGAAATGGGGGATGGAAAGACAAATGGAGGAAGGGCAATCCAGGCAGTGTGGCAGAAGCAAAGAAGCCCCATGACTGGTGCTGTCCCCTCAGTTCCTGCATGCCCACAAAGGGGGCATCATGGCTGATTGTTTCCACATCTGCTTCTCCCCTGGATCATGTTCTCAAAGGGCAAGGTTCCTGCCTCAGTTGTGGACAGCTCTCCCTTTTGGCCCCACATTGTCTCACACAATTGTCTTGCACAATTGTGGACATAGTACCTACAGGACAGTGTTTATTGAATTGGAGGCCTGAGTCGTGTTAGAAGGCTATTCTTTGAAGCACTGGACGGGGTGGGGGCACAGACAGACCAGGAATGTTATAGAGGTGAACTTCTGGGACTAGGTAGTCAGAAATTGGAGCTTAGGGAGGTGAGTTAGGACTTTGATTATATAATGGTCCAGTTTCCTTATTTTTTTAGATGCGAGAACTGATCCCGAGCAAAGGAAGGGATGCTCTAAAGGTCGTAAAGCTAGATGTGGTGGCTCAGGTCTTCTGAATCCAGTTTGGAGCTACAAAACTAGGGACATCAAAAGGAAGAGTTGGGTGGGAGGATGAGTTGGTGGGTTTGGTCAGGGCAGATCTATTTGAGGTACTGTGGAAATGTGGAGTAGATTTGGAATCAGTGGTGCCCACAGAGAGATGGAAGCTGAGGGCATGAGTGTGACTCATGAAGGAAAGAGCAGAACAATGGCCACATTTTGCAGTTGGGAGTGAAGAGGTGCTGATGGGGGAAACAGAAGGAGATGAAGATAGTGGCCCTTTAAGGGAGGACAGAGGCTATTGGCCATGTCATGTGATTGTCAGGAAGAAAGGAATTTGTTAAATTTGTAGGAAGTGGTTACATTTAGTGGAAAAGTGCAGCAGGACTGGAGTAGGGTTAAAAGAGGCAGTGAGCAGTTGAGGAACTGGAAACCTGGCACAGTGCTCTTCGTAGAAGTTGGAAAGGAGTAGGGGACTACTGGGAGAAGGGAGCGGCAGGATCTTTATGTTTTTAAGAGAGAAGACTTACTTGGGGTATTTATTAGTCTGTGGCTCCCCACAGAATTGCTGGAAGAAGAAAAAGCTAAAGGATACAGGAGCTGGGTAAACAAAGGGAGAAGACTGAAGGGGAGCGTGAGGTCAGAACAGAGGCAGGTCCACTGACTTCCGAAAGGCAGAGAAGAAGGAACATACCTTGGGCTTGGCCTGAAATGAGAGGGAATGAGAAAAACTGGGTAGAGAGCAGAGGGTCCTCCCACTTGAAGGAGGGAGTAGAGGTTTAGATGTGTGGAGGGCCAGAGGTCAGGGCAGCCTGGCATCCCAGGCCTACCTAAAACAACCATCCCGTTCCTAGACCCGTGGATTGAGGACTGGCCAGAGCCGGATCATCTGTTCCAGGGGAGCCAGGGGCAGCCCCCAGACTTCGGGGAGCAGCTGGCCTTGCCCCTCCCCCCGCCTTCTCCCTTGCCCCCTCCCATGCCTTTTCCCTACCCCCTTCCTCAGCCCTCCCCACCTCCCCTGTTCCCACCCCTGCCCCAGGATGCCCCTTTTTTCCCAGGCCAGCCCTTTCCACCCCATGAATTCTTCAATTATAATCCAACGGAAGACTTCTCAGTGCCACCCCACTTAGGTAGGTGCCTCTGCAGCTTCCCATCACACCTTTCCCAGCCTCCCTTCACACTTCCCCTACCCTGGCCTCCTGTGCCTCATCAGGCTGAGAGGAGTTGGATCACTCCTGTGCCCCCCAGGATTGGGTTCAGTCACAGCTTAGTCTGGAACAGCATCTGTAGACTCATTAATCAGCTCGTTGTCAGTTTCCTGGTTTAGAGGTAGGGAACTGGTATTGCCATTTTGCAGATGGGGAAACTGAAGCCCAGAAAAACTCACCTTGCAGGACCAGAGTGGCCTAAAGGCAGAGCTGGGCTCACCTTGGCTGGAAGCCCACTCTGATAAATGCCTGGTTCTTTTGTAGGATGTGGCCCTGGAGTGAACTTTGTGCCTGGCCCCCTGCCACCTCCAGTCCCTGGCCCTATCCCCCACGGTCAGCACCGGGGCCCGATGGTCCACCGGGGGATGCCACGCTGTGTTCCCAACAGCCCCTACCATGTACCACGGATGGGGGGACCCTGCAGGCAGCGGCTCAGACACTCAGACAGACTGATCTATACATACAAACTGGACAGACGGCCTCCTGCCCATTCAGGGACATGGCCTGGGTAGACTGGAACTTGGGCTGCGGCTGGATGTGCCATTGGTCCTGCAGGGCCTGCTTGCCACCCCAGGTGCTGGGCCAGTGTGTCTGCTATGCCTGGTATTGTTCTTGTCCATTGCTGTCACCAATAAAGGCATGGAAGAACAGAGTGGCATCTTCCTGTGTGAGGGAACGGGTCCCCAAACCATGATCTTAAGAGTTGGGGAGACTACCTCTGGACTCTTTCCAATTTTGGACCTTTCACCTCATACTATGTAGAAATCACTGAGTGCGTCCTTTCTGCTGTCTCACACACTCATTTCCACCTTCACTAGAACACACACGTGTTTAACAAAGATTCAGAAAAGGTTTCCTGTTGTCAGCAGCTCTTTGGGATTGGGAATAATCAAGGACTCAGTTAAAATTGTCAACATCTTATATGGAATTTTGGATCTGGCTAGTTCTCACCTATGCTAGTCTCATTCATGTGACCTTCAACAGTCATCTACTCCTGGAGATAGAAAAACATATACCTTGCACAGTTTTGGGCATATGGTAGACAGTAAGTGGTTGGAACTAAATAAGAAACTCACAAATCCAAGTGGGAGAACAATTAGAAACAATTAAGTATAATAGGTATAACGTGCAATGGCAGCAAAGTGAACACAGACCATCTTTGGTGGGGCAGGAGAGGAGGAGCGGAGAGAGAATTCCAAAGTGGGGGATAGTGAACTGTGCCAAACTCCATTAAGAAGTTAGGAAAGAATACAGGGTCTCAGCTTTTATGAGTGGTCTTGATCCTATGTGACTACTAAACGGGTGGCATGTGGGCTAAGTGGTGGCATGGGGTGGGGGATAGAACATAGCAGTGGACTGATAGATGATGTGGGGCAGGAAAATAAGGAAACAGACCTACTAATCATCTTCACGTACAATTGGATAGAAGAGAAGGATGCAGTCTTCTTGCATTAACTTTCCATACTTGTTGAAATTTCACCTTGGCAAAGAGTATTAACATCTCACACAAACAGAAATGTAAATAGACCAGAAATGTGTTGATCCTTGCTAGCAATTTTAGTGCAAATGAAAGGAAGCTGCTAAATTAACACACACTGGTGCTGGGGAAACTGGTACAGTGAGTTAATAAAGCCCTTTAGAGAGCAACCTCAGCAGGGCAGTTGAGAATCAAATGTGACAGGGTGTAAAGGTACCAACACAGTGCCTGAAACAAGCTTGGTTTCCTTTGGTACAGACAAAAAGTGGAAGGGAACATACAAAAATGAAAGAAAGCTTTATGTTAGGGAGATAAGAATTTAGGTAAATTTTTTTTTTCAAAAGTTAATTTTTTCTTTTTGTCAACAAAAAAACCCATTCTTGGAGTAGCCTTTAGCTGCATCTAGTTTGCCCAATCGCTTGTTTACTCCCTTCGGCCTTTCCTCAGAACCCATCCTGTGGACATTTTGCATCACTGATGTTTCTCCGTGTTGCTGGAGAACACTGTACACCTGGACTGATTTACAGAAAAAAGTAATATGAGTTACCCAGCCTCATGGGGCCCCTCTCTGTTGCTTACCATCCTGTTAAGAATTTTGTCACCTTCCCTAATGAACCTTTCCTAGGGTTTTCACTCCCTTCAAACCCCATCCCAATTCTGGAACTCTCACTCTAAGCACCTGGAGACTGCAGTATGCTCCGTATCCCTGTCATTCTACCTCTGCATTTCTAATTTCTAGCCCCATCGAGCCATGTGGTTCCCTTTGCCCACAGTGAGGTTTCACCACCTTTTCCTCAGCGTCCCACCATAGATTTGAAATCTAACCTAAGAGTAGAATGTGATACATTTTCAGTTTGTTGTCATAAGCATACAGTATGAGACACTTGACTCCTGTTACCCATTTTATTCAGTCATGACTGGGAAACAAGAAATTTAAAAATATCCATATACAAGTCATTACATGCATTTAAATTGTTTCCTGGTCTTCGTTTTGAGATGTAAAAATGATGAAAATCTTACTTCTCTCCAGTATGTAGGCACACTTCTAGTTAAGCATGACAGAACTCAAACTTCATTGTCTCAAAAGCAATTCATATTTGACCATTAATACTTTAGTAAGACAACCTTACAGTTTCCCTCTCATCGTGGAATCTTGGTTTTTAAGGAATGAGTCCACTGTCCTTTCCTTTGCCATACCAAGATATTCCTGAAAGGAGTAAAAAATGCGTGAGCACTTTAGATGTGACACTAACCTTTATTTTACGGGGTCGGAAGGGGGTCAGGGTGGAGAGTTTTTTAAAAGAAAATTAGAGGTGTTTTTTTCTAAAATATTTTGACCAAACTGGAAGTTTCCCAACAAAAACAAGTAACTTGCCTTCTGTTACACTACCCAGTCCCTCGCATGGATTGTGTGTTGGGTTTAACTACTTAGTGTTTAAGTACACCTACTATGTATGTTGGTGAAAGATAAATTCCTTGTGATTACAAGGAAATACTTACAATATATACCTACTGCTTTGTTGAGGTGTAACTGAGACAATAAACTGCACACATTTCAAATGTACAATTTGATAAATTTTGACATGTATACATCTGTGAAACCATTATCACAATCAAGATAAAATTTATTCCACCTTTTTATTATTTTTTAATTTTTAAAGATTTTATTGGGGAATTGGGGGAGGGGAACAGTGTTGGGGAATCAGGGGAAGGGGAACAGACAAGTTGCTGTCGTTTTGTTCTTCAGTCTAATTGTGGAGGACGTCGCTTCACTGGCCCATGTTGGTATTATCATTGCGCTCTTCCCGGGTAAGGCAGATCAGTCACCAGCCACTGGACAGCCTCTCACAGCGGTTCTTGGCAGCTCACGCCAGCTGCTGGCCGCTCCTGGTAGCTTATGGGAGCCCACTGCAGCTCCACTGCAGCCTACGCTGTCGCCAGCGACTCAAGGCAGCTCAGCTCCAGGTCGAGCTGTTGTTCACCATCTTAGCTGTAGAGGGCACAGCGTCACAGGCTTTAATGTGGGATTTGAACCAGGGTCCTGTTGCTCAGAGCTGGTGTCCCAAGCCAACTCTTAACGCGCCACTCGGCTGGCCCTATGTTTAACTTTTTAAGAAACTGCCAAACAATTTTCCAAAGTGGTGGTCCCATTTTATATTCCCATTAACAGTGTGTGAGGGTTGCAGTTCCTCCACATTCTTGCCAACACTTGGTATTGGTCAGTCTTTTTAATATTACCCATTCTAATAAGTAGGTAATATTTTAATTTGTATTTCCATAGTGACCAATGATATTGAATATCTTTTCCTGTGCTTATTTGCAATCTATACATCTTTGTTAAAGTTTCTGTTCAAATTGTTCCTCCTATCTCCTCATCCCTTTTTAAAACTTACTATTGGGCTTCAAGAGTTCTTTATTCTGGATCCAAGTCCTTTATCAGATGTGTAGTTTGTAAATACTTTCTTCCAGTCTGTGGCTTGTCTTTTTCTTAACAGTGTCTTTTGAAGAACAGAAAATTTTAATTGTGATCAAGGGCAGTTTATTAAAATTTTCTTTTATGGATTATGCTTTTGGTGTCATATCTAAGAAATCTTTGCTTAACCCAAGGTCACAACTGTTTTCTTCTGTTTTAGCCCAGAAGGTTTATAGTTTTCAGTTTTATATTCAGGTCTATGACCTATTTTGAATTATTTATTTGCATGTGGTAAAATATATGAAAAATTTTTATTGAAATTTTTTTGCATTTGAATATCCAATGGTTCCAGCACTATATTAATTGAAGACTATCCTTTCTCCACTAAACTCCCTTTGCACCTTTGTTGAAATTAGTTGTGCATGTATGTTTGACTTATTTCTGGACTCTTCTATTGATCCATTTGTCTATTTTTATGTCAATACCATACTGTCTTTTTTTTTTTTTTTAAGATTTTTATTGGGGAATTGGGGGGATGGGAACAGTGCTGGGGAATTGGGGAAAGGGGAACAGACAAGTTGCTGTCGTTTTG